ACCGTCAGCAGGTCCCGATCCTTTTAAGCCACCACTTGTGTCCCCGCCAGCATTCACGGCAGGGTACGGGTGACATCCATACTTTACTGCAAGTGAAGGCTTGAATTTGACTGCAGCTTTCTCGGCGTCGGTGGTCGGTTCCGGCTGTGCGAACGGCTGGACAGTGTCATGATCGATCGACGCAGCTCGGACGTTGGCGATTGTGACCGCAGCAAGTATGCCCCACACCCGCATCTTGTTCCAGGTGAGATGGTTGTGCGCTTGATTGTCGGAGAATTGGAATGTGAGAGCAAGGAATGGGAGGACGAGCCGATTCGCGGATGCGTATTAGTACGAAATGACTGTTAATCGACCCATACATAATTTAAACAAGGGAGGGGTCAGAGAATTGTTTACCATTTCAATATTAATAACAGCGCCTGTATTTTACGCTTAGGACTCTTTTTTAGCTCTATACTGGCCTAGCTAAAAAAATTGTACAGTCGTGCACCTCCAATTCGGCAGGGCGGACCATATCAACAGTGCCAGGGCATAAGTGCACAACGTAAAGCAAAAAACAAACGCAAATCCAGTGCACTGATATTTGATTTGTTAATTCAGTACAAATTTTACGTTTAGTTCTTTGACGATGCCTGTGTAGCACCAACAGTTTCTAATAGTCTTTGTAGATATGTTGTTCCAGCCTTCAGACAACCACTTCATGGCGTAGTAAACGTCGACCGGCGTGTAAGGAACACCCTTGTAGAACAGGTCCAGCTTCGCGGCTTGCTTCTTGTTCTGGTACTCATTCTTCAGGCACTTAATGATGGCCTGGTCCATGGGCTACAGTACGGCAGTTGTATTAGGCGGGAGCTTGCGAATAGCAACATTGGATAGCTCAATAGAAGCTTCGTTGTGCGACGAAGCATTGTCAACAAGTAGTAGTACTTGTCGTTCTTCCAGCTGCATACGTTCATTTAGCGCCAAGAGCCAATCACAGTACTTTACCGTATTCATCCACGCTTTCGCCGTATTTGTGTAGGTAGCTCCAATTTCGACTAGAAGGTCGCGATTTTTTACGGGGTGCGGCACTTTAGACCGACCAATGAAGTGCAGCGGAAGCTGCTCCGTGCCATCGGCGTTGGTGGCAACGCACACGGTGATCCGGTGCTTGCTCTGCTTCCTCCCCTTCTCTTTCTTGTTCGCTGTTAGAGATCCTCGCGGTTCCCGGCCGTAGAAGAATGCGGTCTCGTCCAGATTGAAGACGTCCCGGGGTGGTATTCTGAAACAAGTGCTCGAAGACCTTTAAGCCCCTCTTCCACTGCTGCGTCGTCCACGGAGGCCCCCTCCCCATGTCGTAGCGAAAACCACAGCCCTGTGCGCTGCTGGAAGCGGTACAGCCACCCTCGACTAGGTGCATTGCCTCCGGGTAGCTGTACTCCTTCACGCTTTGCAATCATTAGTACCGTAGAGCCCTGAATAGTTGCGTTTCCGTGCCAAGTCTTGAACTCGTCAATCTTCTGCATAATCTTGGCGTCAGACGCGCGAATCGCGGGCGCGCAACAGCGCTTCCGGTCGCGATAGGCATCCGGCAAGGCGGCAACGTCCGCCGACCGCTTAAGAATACTCTGGACGGTAGTGCGCTTTACTGCTTGTGGGGTGTTAAAGCGCCTTGTTGCCCAACGAGCAAGTTCGGACTGAGAGCATGCAGGATCTGACTTGTGCTTCTCGCACAAAGACTGCTTTTGTGGGACATGTAGGAGGAAGGGCGATGTTTCATTGTCTTTAGCGGCAAAAATCAAAGTGTGTGTTTGTATGAAGACGTCCGATCCAAAATTTAAAATCAGATCGATGCGGCGTGTCATCCCTCCGCAAGGAGGGGAAAACCATTGAGGTTAATTGCTAGGGTGGTGATGGGCAAGGATAATTGCGCATCCGATTCGCGTAATCATCAAATATGGCAGGGTATCGACTGATACTGGTGCCGAATTGGAGGTGCACGACTGTACACGTATTAAATAGTACTATCCATAAGCTGTCTATTGAGAAGTTGAGTTTGCACCGCACCACAAGCTCCCAAAGTCTAAAGCACCTCTCGCAAATAAGCTTGAACCACTGCTTGCGATTACGCCACTAGCGCTCGGCACGACCACACGTCGTAATATCGGATTTGATACAGCACCAAGGTGCAGAATCGTAAAAAAGCAAAATGTGCAATTATTTGATTGCCCCATTTACTCGCCATTAATCTGCGGGAAACGCTATTAGGCCCTGATTTTATAATAACTGCTAAACCAACTGCATACGCGTAGGAAAGCGTCCACTACTGCGGAGATAGTCGGCGTTGCCAAGAGGGCTAGCGCAGAGGCACCTTCGGCCGGGCGAGGACCGGCGGATAGAATATACTTACTGGTTTGCTCAAAGTTTGCCCGAAATCTCTCTATTGAAGTTTGATTACATGTATAAACGCTACGGTGTAGTTACAATAGTGTTTGTGGGAATATTAATAGACAGCTGATAGTGTATCACGCATACACGTAGCACAATTTGAAGTACTGTAAGTTTATCACGCAAACGCTGTTGCTCTTAATGAAAACAGTGCGCATAGACAGCTGAAGGTGTATCACGCATACACGTAGCACAATTTGAAGTACTCTAAGTTTGTCACGCAAATGTTGTTTGCTATGAATGAATACGGACGAGTATGCTGCCCTGTACTACATGTATTTCACGAGAAAGTACGGGCATATGGCAGTACCAAAAATTTCTTCGGCAGTCATAGCATCCAGAGACCACTTTTTATTCCTGTTTAGGGGATTCCCATCGCGGAATGTACCATAAAAATGGATCATAGTTTACCTTTAGTCAAACCAGCAGTAAAATGTACCTTAAACACTGTCAAACTTTTAGAATTTGTTATACGTATCCATAGCTGCCGATAAATAGGCTACTTTGCTCGCATTTGCTCACCATCCTAGCAGCCACCACATTTGATCTGCGAACGGACTGTTGTTTCCGAAGTTGTCAGGGGGCTGCTAAAGATTTTCGTTCGTGGGGATGCCAGTGTTGACGGGTATACGGAATCTTGTATAAGGAGATCGGTGGGATAACAACCGGAAACGTACGTTAACGTATTGTAGTGAATCCTAGGTATTTCACCTTGGTTTCCCTCATAGTTCAACGGAGACGACCCAAGGGCGCCTGGCAACTTTGCCATCTTCAGGCGATGGGTCTGCGTGTCTTCTTAGTCGGGCTAGTAAGGTCCGACCCGGGTTTTATATTAGGAACCAGGCCAACTACATATCATCTTTCTTATAACGTTCCCAGCGAACTTTCTGAGGGACGCCTTAGAAAGAAGCTGATAATTGAGCTCGATCTGGTTACCATCAGTCTCGAGACTCATTCTACGATTTACCCGGTACAATACACTTGGCTATAAGTTCCAGCGGGGTGGCTCCCGCTTTGTCGAGTGTTGATTGGTTTTTCGCCCGGGATTTACTACAAAGAATTCTTTAGTGGAAAAAAGTGTTTTTTTTGGTACAAGTCCAGCTGCCTGTACCAAGAGACAAGAACAAGTACAAGAGCCTGTGTCTGCCGTCGTGACTGTGGTTTTCTTTTGGCGCGACCGAAGCGAGCCGCTAAGGGCCCAAGGGTTAATCGTGGTTATTTCGGCGTGAGTGGGACTGAACCTCAGCAAGTACCAGCCAGGATGCAAGGAGCTGGTGCACCGGTATTTACACCGATCGTAGCACCGGAAATTACAAGTATCTCTCATGAAGCTCTGACTGATTGGACGAACAAGCGCCGTCACTACGAGAGCAAGTTGAGAGCTCGATGCCGCGCTACTGGAGAAAATTATGACAACATAGTCCAGTCCGTTCGCGACTCAATGGATCCTGATTTACTGGATGTACTTTGCGAGCTGAGATTGAACGAGGACGTTGCTAACGTGAATGACGACATGCTTATTGCTGAGTTCGCCCTCATCCTTTCAAGCGTGAAGAATGACACGCTCCCTGACGTCAAGACATTATTCAGATCCAAACTGAGGATGAACCTGACGGAGAGTGATGTCGACGCCCGTGTGCTGGACTACTTTAACCAGTTCCGGAAGTTAGTGCGCGAGAATGGTCTGGGCGCCTGCTTTGAAGGTGACGGGGGTAACGAGGCAAAGTACAAGCAACTCGTGGCCTCTCTTCACCCAGCGGCTCTCAAGGAAGAAGTGGAGCAGTGTTTGCAGTATACGCACAAGCAGGCCGCCTCGATTCCAAGACTGTTGTTTGACCTCGTCGTTGAGAAGGCGAAGGAACATGAGCGCCAGTTTCTAAGACAAAGGAATATGAAACGAGATCGCGATGAAGATCTGCAGAAGAAGAAGAACCCCGAAGGAAAGAAGAAAATCAGGACCGGTGAGAATACGGAGGACTCTTCAAGTAAGGTGGCCAAGACCAATAGCATATCCAAGACCAATAGCATATCCAAGACCAAGACGAAATCGAAGTCGAAGAAGCTACTTCCAAGTCCGTGTCCAAAGTGCAATGGGATGCACTGGCTCAACGAGTGCCCCAATGCGACTGAAGATGGAAAGGTGGAGCTGAGGAAACGCTTGCGTGAGGCGAATGCAGCCAAGCGTACAAAGACCAAGCGCCTTGGTGAGTTTCTACCGACTCCATCTCGTGCTGTTATGGTGAATGGAGTACTGGAGATTCCGTACTGCGCTGACAGTGGCGCTGACCATACCGTGATGGGCCGCTCTCACTGGAATCAACTCCGGGCTCTGGACCCAAGTGTTCAAGCTGAAGAAGTTACTGTCCCTGTTCAGAACCAGACGTTTGGGTCTATGTTGGTGACTGCCGATAAGAAGGCCAAACTCCATTTAATGATTCGCACCGCGGCTGGGCAGGTTAAACCGATGAAGG